AATAATTATTATATGATATATAATATTATATAATATATTATATAATTATATAATATGTTATATAATATAATTATATAATAATATATAAATATATATACTAAATAAATATATAATAATATATTTTACATATATATAATGTACATAAGTCAGATCATGAATACATCTTTTTTTTGCTAGTCATAGGGCTTGAACTCAGAGCTGAGCACTGTCCCTGAGCTCCTTTTTGCTCAAGGCTAGCCTTGAGCCACAGCACCACTTCTGGCTTTTTCCGTGTCTGTGGCACTGAGGAATCGAACCCACAGCCTCATGCATGCTAGGCAAGCGCTCTACCACTGAGCCACCTTCCCAGCCCCTGAGTGCATTTCTTTTTGCACACTGTCAACACTTCACTCTCACCCAGTTTTTCCCTCCCATCCTCACCCACAAGTTGTAGAGTTCATGGATTTTCCACATAGTGTCCAGTGAGGACCACTGCTGCATCTGTTTACCCTTTGTCCGTCCATTTCTTTCTTTCTTTGGTCAGTTGTGGGGCTTGAATCTGGGCCTGGGCACTCTACCACTTGAGCCACAGCTCCACTTTCAGTTTTCTGGTGGTTAATTGGAGATTAAGAGTCTCATGGACTTGGTGGGGGGGGGGACGCTGGCTTTGAACTGTGATCCCTCACATCTCAGCCTCCTGCGTAGCTAGGATGACAGGCTTGAGCCACCGACCCCTGGCAGCCATGTTTTTTTTAAATCCATTCCTTGCCCAATCCACTAGGAGGAAGGACAGCTCACAGTTCTTTAGATCCATCATAAGGCAGGATTTAGACTTTACCCACAATTACATGAAAACTCTTTCCTGGAAGTTGCTCTCTGATTGAAACAACTGTTTCTGACATTTTGGTGGTTCCAAGGTCATGACCTAAGTTTAAGGACAATGTAAAATAAAAATGATCGGAAGCTATTGTTTTTGGACTGAACTGGGTTCTAACACCAGAAAGGAGTCACCTACTGTACAGTTAGACTCAATCTAAACTCAGCTGCTTATCTATCAAAAAAAAAAAAAAAAGCAACTCAGGATTCTTCTTTTTTGTAAGGTCTGAGGCCAAGATTCAAACTCAGTACCTGTGACTTTCACTCATTGGCCAATAATCCAATTGAGCCACACCCCCAAACCTTGAAGGAGTTTTTTTTTTCTTGTTGGTCATGGGGCGTGAACTCTGGGCCTGGGTACTGCTCCTGAGCTCTTCAACTCCAGGCAAGTGCTCTACCACTTGAGCCACAGCACCACTTCCAGTTTTCTGGTGGTTCACTGGACACAAGAATCTCATGGACGTTCCTGCCTGGGCTGGCTTTGAACTATGATCCTCAGATCTCAGCCTCCTGAGTAGCTAGGATGCTAGGTATGAGCCACCAGTGCCCGGCACCCAGCCAATGTGTATATAGTTTTAATATATGTGTGCCATATGATCTGATTAAATCAAGCTAGTTAACCAATTCATCACCCAACAATGCTTAGTTACCCATGATCGCCTGGCACAACAAGGCTGGGCTAATATGTCCCAAATACATCCCAGGATTCAGATTCTGCTTGGCTGTTGCCACAATCTCAGGAAAGAAAAGGATCAAAATGGGGCTGGGAAGGTGGCTCAGTGGTAGAATGCTTGCCTTGCATGCCTGAGCCCCGGGTTCAATTCCTCAGCATCACCAGAAGTGGCGCTGTGGCTCAAGAGATAGATCACTCACCTTGAGCTGAAGAGCACAGGGACAGTGCCCAGACCCAGAGTTAAGGTCCCACGGCTGACAAAAAGAAAAGAAATGATCAAAATAAATCTTCCCTGGGATTATACGTGACAGTGACAGCTAGCAATTCAACATCTCCAAATCAGGATGGTCATAGTAAAAGAGGCTTCAGTTTAAAAATTAAAAGTTAGCCAGACGCCAGTGGCTCATGCCTGTCATCCTAGCTACTCAAGAGGCTTAGCTCTGAGGATCACAGTTTGAAGCCAGCCAGGGCACGAAAGTGGTTTCTCCAAGAAAAAGCCAGGAGTGGTGCTGTGGTTCAAGTGGTAGAGCACTAGACTTGAGCAAAAGAGCTCAGGGACCGTACACAGACCCTGAGTTCAAACCCCATAACCGACAAAAAAAAAATTGTTTTAATATATTTTTATTTTTAAATTTGGGTTGCTAAGTCCTCAAAACCCCAGATCCCTCACAAGTGTCTTTTGCACATAAATGACTTTGCTAAATGGTTTAGGTTCTGGCTTTCTGCTCCTAGGTAAGTGAGGGTTCAGTTCTTCAAATCGGAATCATGAGAGCCGGGCGCCAGTGGCTCACGCCTGTCATCCTAGCTACTCAGGAGACTGAGATCTGAGGATCACGGTTCAAAACCAGCCCAGGCAGGAAAGTCCCTGAGACTCTTGGAATCTCCAATGAACCACCAGAAAACCGGAAGTGGCGCTGTGGCTCAAGTGGTAGGGCGCTCACCTTGAGCTGAAGAGCTGAGGGACAGCGCCCAGGTCCAGAGTTCATATCATCATCATCATCTGAATCACAAGTTCCAGGAAGGGCCCATCCAGGCCTGTGTGAGGTCAGGCCATCTTCTTGGCTCCTGGGGCCGATCCTCTCTACGTAAAAGACCTTGCCCCCCCCCCCCCCCCCGGTCCATGCTGTGCATGTGTGACTGTGGTTTTGGTTCTTAGCCAAGCCTGGTTGCAATTGTGTGCAGCTGCTTGCTTTTCCCAGCAGTGATGATGGCATTATTGAACAGGTGGCTTTTTCTTTTCTTTCTTTTTTTTGGTCATGGGGCTTGAACTTTGGGCCTGGGCGCTGTCCCTGCGCTCTTCAGCTCAAGGAGAGCGCTCTACCTCTCGAGCCACAGCGCCACTTCCAGTTTTCTAGTGGTTTATTGGAGATCAGAGTCTCACAGACTTTTCTGCCAGGGCTGGCTTTGAACTGTGATCCTCAGATCTCAGCCTCTTGAGTAGCTAGGATGACAGGCGTGAGCCACTGGCACCAGGCTGAACAGGTGTCTTTTGCAGTCTAGTGACACGGCTTTTATCTGGATACAGTCAAGAGTCACTGCATGGGGTCCACCAGGGAATCCGGGGATCTTTTATACAACACACTAAACCAAGGGCCCTTGTAACCCTAGCTAAGAGGCTAAGATCAGAGGATCACAGTTCAAAGCTATCTCAGGACGTAAAGTCCATGAGACTTTTGTTCTCCAATGAACTAGCAAGAACTTGAGGTATAATTCACATGGCAGAGTGCCAGGCTCAAGGGAAAAAGCTAAGAGACAGAATCCTGGGCCTGAGCTCAAGCCTCAGCACAAATAAAAAAAGAACGAAACAAAACAAAACACCCACTGGCCCTGGGAACAGAAAAGAGTTAATTGAGGGCTGGTAGGTAGCTGTCCTGGACTCCTGAAAATCTCTACTTCAACTTCTTTGGGCAAGAAGGCTGAAGAAGGACTGGGAAGGTGGCTCAGTGGTAGAATGCTTGCCTTGCATGCATGAGGCCCTGGGTTCCATTCCTCAGAAAAAGCTGGAAGTGGCGCTGTGGCTCAAGTGGTAGAGTGCTAGCCTTGAGCTGAAGAGCTCAGGGACAGCGCCCCAGGATCAGAATTCAGGGCCCATGAGCAACAACCAAAAAAAGACTGAAGACACTGGCCTAAGTGTGGAACTGTGAACAACTGCTCCCCCTGGTGGTGGGGAAGAGGAAGAATTACCTTTATTTAATTTGGACATAGATGTGGGTGTGGGTGGGACTTAGACACCTTCCCTTAGCTTTTCCAGTCAAGGATGGCACTCTGCCATTTGAACCACAGCTCCACTTTGGCTTTTTGAAGATAAGAGAGTCTCACAGATTTTCCTGTGCATTCTGGCTTCAAATAGAGATCCTCAGATCTCAGCCTTGTGAGTAATGGATTATATAGACTTGAGTCACTGGCAAGAAATGACTCTGTGTATGCGAGAATGAGGGGGGGGGGGCCTGGGTGCTGTCCCTGAGCTTTTTTTTTTTTTTGGTCGGACATGGAGCTTGAACTCGGGGCCTGGGCGCTGTCGGTCAGCTCTTCAGCTCAAGGCTAGCACTTACCACTTGAGCCACAGTGCCACTTCTGGCTTACTGAGTCGTTTATTGGAGATAAGACTCTCACAGACTTTCCTGCCCAAGCTGGCTTTGATTTATGATCCTCAGATCTCAATCTCCTGTGTAGATAGGATGACAGGCATGAGCCACCTGCCCCCAGTTAGATGGTAGTGTTTTAACAAGCTCAAAGCCATAAATTCAAGCGCCAGCACCAAAAACAAAACAAAACAAAACAAAAACAAATCTGTTGATTTCACAACTCACCAATGGCCTTGGGTCACAGTTTGCAATAAAGGCCAGGAGTTATGCCTTTTTTTTTTTTTTTT